ATGTCGAAAAATAAACCACAATTAACGTAACACCAACGTCAAATATCACGTTACAAACAATTATAAAATAATTACCACAAAGTCGTGAAGCTGAATCTTATATTTTTTTAATTACAAACATAAATGTCACTTTATTTTTACTGGATAATACAGAAAAACAACAATATTCCCGTTATAACTTTTATATTAACTTTGTGTTGATGATGTATACTAATTATTTTATAACTTGACATGAATGTATTATCTTGACAAGGGCACCTGTTGCATGCTGGTTTATTAATTGGATGTCTTCTGGTTAAATGTAAACAAATAGAAATATCTTGTGTATACCTTGCAATTGAAATGTACTTTTAAAATTGAAAATGGAAACGGGGAAATGCGTTTAAAGGACAACAACCAGGGCCAGCTGAAGCCCGCTTCCGGGTGCGGGATTTTCTCGCTGTGTTCAGTGAAGACCCGCTGGTGGCCTTTGGCTGTTTTCTGCTGTTTGGTCGGGTTGTTGTTTCTTTGACACATTCCCCATTTCCATTCTCAATTTTATTAAATATCATCAACAACGCTATATTTCTTTACGAAGGAATTTTGGGATTTCAAACGAACTGGAGCTAATCAATATTGTCCTGAATTGCTCTATCTTGTGCACCCCACAGTTAAACTTACAGACAAAATTTAGGATTTACACGAGATCTTTTAAAGTGAAAAATGGGAGTTGAGACCTGTGTTTACACCTTTAGATGTCGTGTTAGTAGTCCAAATTATTATTATAATTAACAAAAAAATCCATATTATATCAAATAGCTCATAGTTTTTTTCGTTTGTAATGTTTTCATTTTTGTCGAGCCTGCGAAATTTATTTCGCGAAAGAGAGACATAGCGATCCTAGATTCCGGCGTCGGCGGCGTCAACATTTAGGTTCAGTCTGTAGTAATAGTTTTTCAGTCATCAATAACTTTGTCAAACCTTCGTGGAAATTCATGAAATTTGGAAAGAAGCTTGTTTATGACCAAAATATAATATCCAGAGCGAAGTTTTGTAAATATTTATTTTCATTTTTCCGTATTTTACTGATTAATGGACTTAGTTTTTTTTACAGTTAACAATTAGATACAGCCTGGGGTTAAAGTTTATTACACATCAATTACTTTGTCAAACCTTCATTGAGTTTTATGAAGCTTTGGCAGAAGCTTTGTAATGATTAAGAGATAATGTCTGGAGCACACCTTTGAAAATATATTTTTTTTTCATTTTTAGTACTTTTCTGATAGATGGACTTCATTGTCGAGCCTGCGACTTTTGTCGCAAAAGCGAGACATAGCGATCCTACATTCCGTCGTCGTCGGCGGCGGCGGCGGCGTCCACAAATATTCACTCTGTGGTTAAAGTTTTTGAAATTTTAACAACTTTCTTAAACTATCCTGGATTTCTACCAAAATTGGACAGAAGCTTGTTTATGATCATAAGATAGTATCCAGAAGTAAATTTTGTAAAAAAAAAAAATCCTGTTTATCCGTATTTTACTTATAAATGGACTTAGTTTTTCTGCCAGTTAACATTACATTCACTCTGTGGTTAAAATTTTTAGAATTTTAATAAATTTCTTAAAATATCCTGGATTTCTACCAAACTTGGACAAAAGCTTGTTTATGATCATAAGATATTATCCAGAAGTAAATTTTGTAAAAAAAAAATCCTGTTTATCCGTATTTTACTTATAAATGGACTTAGTTTTTCTGCCGGTTAGCATTACATTCACTCTGTGGTTAAAGTTTTAAAAATTTAAATAACTTTCTTTAACTATCCTGGATTTGAACCAATCTTGGACAGAAGCTTGTTTATGATCAAAAGCTAGTATCTAGAAGGAAATTTTGTAAAAATTTATTTCCTGTTTTTCCGTATATTACTTATAAATGGACTTAGTTTTTCTTCCAGTTAAAATTACATACAGTCTGCAGTTTTTAACATTTATTAGATTCATAAACCATCCTGCATTTTTACCAAACTTGCATCTAGAAGCTTGTTAATGATCAAAATAAGGTATCCACAGGATATCTTCTTTATCATTTGTTCATTCAATAAATTTATGTTTCAACTCTTTTATAAATCTATAGATTTGATCGCATACTATATTCATTTTTTACAAGCACAACTTTTTTCATACATTCCAAACGTTTTATTTCATTAACTGTAAACTATTATGTGTATTCCCCTATCACACTGAAAACATAGACAACAGCAAAAGTAGGCGAGACACTGGGTTCCGCGGAACTCTTACGATTTTTTTTGTTTACAGTTTACATTTACAGACAGTTTGGGATTAAATTTTGTTGACATGATAAATGTGTAAACCTCCATGGATTGTTATGGAACTCGGACACAAGCTAATCTTCAAGACCAAGAAATATAGCATATAAAGAAAAAGTTTGAATTTTTTTTAAAATTCTGTATTTTACGCATAAATGGACTCACTTTTTGAGTCAACATTACACTTTTACACTGACAGCAGCAATCGCAGGCGAGACACAGGTTTCCGCGGAACCCCTTATGAATTTGTTATATATAGAGGCCTTTTTAGTTGACTATACGGTAAGGGTTTTGATCGTTTTTGCAGGCCATACGGTGATCTATATTTGCTTAAATCTTCATTATTTGGTCTTTGGAGGATAGGTGTCTCATTGGCAATCATACCTTATCTCCTTATTTTGTATTACCATATGTACGAAATATTACATTCGTTACTTCTAGTATTGCATAACTGTAACAATTTTAATTAGACTTGTCAGTTATATTCTGCATCTTACTTATTTTGGTACAATACCAGTTTTGTTTTTAAGGACAATATAGTGATCAAAATTGTACTACACCGATTCAAATGAAACCAGCAAAGAGTGTGTCGTTTTTTCGTGATGTCAGTTGATGTTTAAGAAGTCCTGGATGTGTATATATGCATTGACGTCTTTAAAAGTTTAACCATTCGTTTGGATAACGGTGTGTTTCAGTCCCAAGATAATTATTTCCTTAAATTGCATCTTTGAAAAGCGAAATGAAGAAAAAAAATTCAGATCAGTGCTCTTTGCTATCAAATTGTGATTGATTGGTTGGTTGATTGATTAGTAGGTGAATGCTATACACCGCATCAGCGCGAAAAGGCTCTATCGCGGAGAGAGCTTATTCGAATATTTTAACAGATGACAGTTTTAAAAATTAGACGAAAGGTCTTTCAATTTACTAAAACATTTAGTTTAAAGCGAAATACTAGTATTCAATTTTGATATCAGACATATACTAACAGGACAATATTTAACATGGGTTGTTTTTCTATGCACCGTTTTCCCATTTGTTTTTCTATTCAGTTAGTTAACTGACATGTCATATTTTAGTTTTAGTTATCGTTTTATTTTTATTTTTACAGCAACAAATGTACGTATTAATTCCAAATGAATCAAATCTAACATGTATAAACGTTGATACCTACAATCATTTTGTTTTGTGTGAAACTAGAATTTTATATCAAAATACACGCAAATCCTAAAACTTAAAATAATTCTATACATGGCGCGAAATAGGATTGCCTTGCCAAACCCCATATGTCATTGTAGAATATAGGAATGATCTGTTGTAATCAGTTAATATGACCAGGTTAAATATTTATTTATTTACATGTTAATTTTGAGAACCACTTCTTGCCCGTGAATTAACATTTGTTATATGATTTGAAAATACAGAAAAATATACGTGAAGATTGCTATTGGCTGCCGCAAAACACACAATTCAATATAAAAAGTAATATTTTTCTATAAAAACGCATAATTTAATATAAGAAAATATTGTTTTATAAAAATGAGAGCACGTTATACATTTACGTAATCATGACGACTTTATCAAAAGTCAAATACGTGACAAACAAATTAAATGAAACAAGACAGAGTATCTACTTTTAATTTGATAATATTTTGAATTGTTTCGGGGTCTTCTTGTTTGAAAAGCAAGATATCATATCAAAATGGGCACAAACATATAAACTTCTTAAATGTATTTTTGCTTTTTTGTTTTAATCACTAACTACAATACATGTCCAATCACTAGAGACTGATAAGGGCCTGATATCATGAACATTATAAGTACTTCACATTTAAAACATTTTCCCAGTCTTTTAAATGATCATGTTTCTACCTTAATCGCTTGTACTGTTGTCAGAATAATGGGTGTCGTCTAGACATATATGATTAACATAATTAAATTATGATACATGTACATGTATCTCGGACTAATACATGAATTATCTATTGGGCCCAGCATGTATGGATTCACATTAGTTGTGTAACTATAAGACATAAATATTGATATAATTTCTTCAAATCATTTTTATTTAATCAACTATCTTAAATGAAACTGCATGCACACTGGTTGAAAAAAAAGTCAGCGTAAACCTTGCTCGATTATTAACTAGATGTTTTTTTTTTAAATAAATGCAAATACATAGGAAGTCTGAATTCTGAATTTTTTTCTTTACCCATAATTTATGTAATAAATGTCATATCTTTAAATAATTGTTTTCCTGAAATTGTTAGATTTATGGAATTTATACAAGTTAATAAAAAAAGAGTTCATTGTAATATTTCTATTATTCGGCTATGCTCAACAATTCTAGTAATTATCATACAAAAAAAATCACATTACTTACTCCAATATGAAAATGAATAAATGTAAATTACTAACTCCAATATGAAAATGAATAAATATAGATTAATAACTTCAATATGAAAATGAATAAATGTAAATTACTAACTTCAATATGAAAATGAATACTTTCACTGTCTAACATAACTTTATCTTGATACCCCCTTTTATTTATCATATACAAGAATGTATGTGTAATGGAAACCGATTCATGATAACATTAATGACCTGTCCAGTTTATGATTGTCGAACGTTTACAACAAGCATTTAATATGTCATAACACGACATCATTTACATTGTCTTAACGATATAAATATATATTAAATCATTTTGTGACAGATAGGGTATAGCCTCTATATAAAGCTCTAAAATTTCATCCTGTGTTGCATTTTTGCCATTTGTGGAAGATAGATATCAGATACTGAAAATGAAATCCGTAAGTATCGTTTTACACATCATCATATTTGTATTATGTTGTATAATTAAAGGAATCGATTAAGAATTTCGTGGTTTTCAAATATATTTACAAAGCAAAACATTATCTATTTTACAAGTTGCTTAAATGTTGTCATTTTTCAATTAGATTTTTAATTGAAATTATGTGGTGGAATCACGTTTAATATATGCAAAATGTCTAGAAGACGATTTGTTTTTCAAAAATAAAAAAGTAGCCTTCATATATGCGATTCAAGTAATTTATTGATTCCCGTCCCCACAATTCAGTCTATCAATATAACAGTAATCATAAACGATTCCCAATTGGTATTTCTCTGTTCTCGTTTTATTGATAAGCAACAGGAATCAATATAAGATTCAATCCCCATTTTATATTTCTATATATTCGTTAAATGCGAAATGACAGTTACATTGCAAAAGTGAGATTGAAAGGGAATATATGATATCTTTATTAGTGGAATAATTTTTTTTATTTGCTTAATTTAAGCAAACTGGATGAGAAACAAGTAAATCATACTTATGAATTCTTCTTCTCCATACTATAATATGAAATAATATGAGCATGCATGTAAAGCTAATAATTTATTGGATATTATATGAACTATAAAATAGATAAAGAAAAGAAAAAGGAGAAGCAAATATTGTGAAATATATTTTTCTGTGATGATGACTTAGGTTTTGTTGATGACGTCGACGTTGATTTCTAATTTTGCAATTGAAAAGGATTGTAATTACATTGTTAAAAAAACCATTTCTTTTAACGGTACAACATATTACCCATTGAAATCACATGATTTTGTAGACGTGTAATAAGATTTGGTTAATAAATTAGACCGATTTGTTGTAATTTTTCTCTCGGAATTTCTGTATACGGTACACATAAATCAAAATGTGCCAATGCTCTATATACAACACATTAGGAAATAATTCTGATGATTATCAACAGAAGAAATATTCATTATTCACGAAAGATATTCGTTATACCTAGCAGCAATAAAATAAAAAACCTTATTTAACCGAGAGCACTACTTGACCTGTTACGTGTGCGAGTTACTAGGACAAATTAACAAGAATGAAAAGAAGGTTTAGTTAAGCGGTGCAACGAGATTTTATTGTAAAATATACGATAACTATACAATATATATACATTGTCGGAAAATACAAAATGTATTTGTATTCGCTACGACACAGGAGAAAAACTCGACGAGCCTCGCTTTTCGTCCTGTTTCTAAAGCTCGTACAAATAAATTTTGTATTTCCGACAATGTACATATATTGTTTTATCCTGCAATTTACACCCGGCACTTTAAGTTTAAATTGTTTTAATCCAAATAGTTGTCTCTTATGTTCCAAATAAATACACCAAATTGAACTGTCCCCAAAAAAATATTCACATCACCGACCGTTTGCTCAATATGGAAGTGGAGTAACAGGTAACTTTATTTGTACAAGTATGAGTACAAAAAAGGCAAACAGTTATTTGTGTACCTGTTATTTGTACAATAGTTGGCCGATTGCAGGATAAATACCACTATTTAGACATAAGGTACCAACCGATACAGCTAATGTATATGATTATTCGTGAAATATATATTTAATTGGATCGTTAAATTACTAGTCCAAAATAAGGCATACACTGAACCTAAAACAAAAAAGGAAAAATAAAGGTTATGGCATGATTTAAATTACATAAATAAATAAGTGTTTTTGTTAGAAATGGCATATTCAAAAAATCTAAAACTTTCATCATAATTTGACCGTAACTGATAATTCACCCATTTTCAGTAGCTGTCCCTTTGGCAATCACACTAAAATCCTTATTTTTTACGGCTTAATATTCTTTTTATATCTCGCTTGTTCAAAGCTGTCAGAAATACATTAAGAATGTTTACTTTCGATTGCAACTCCCTTAAGTAAAGCTGACCTTAAATGGAATTGAAGGTACTGTTTTATAACATTTTGTTTTTTAGTCTCGCAAACATATTGTGTACTTCATGTCCTAGAATGTTAGTCTAGAGAACGTGGTCAAGATTATTCCAAACAGACTTTATGAAATAAGACCGGTTGTTATACAACGACAAAATAGTCCGTCGGTATCAAATAGGCAAATTTCAGATATGTTAATTGGAGAGAAATTAACATATGATTAGTTGTACCGCAGTGCAACGAAAGTAACTTGATGTGTTCATTGAAGATACTCGCTGTTTTTTGTCTTGTTGGTCACGTAACTTGAATTGTTTATTGCAGATACTTGCTGTTATTTGTCTTGTTGGTTTCGTTACCTGTCAATCCCCGCCACCAACGCAACCAGAGCCAACATCTAAAGCTGCCCCAGAACCAGCACCTGTTGTTAGAAAAACAGTTCAAGTAACAGCACCACAGACCGTCGCTACATCTACAAAAAAAGGATGTGTAAGTCAAAATTTAGTAAAAGAAATAAACTAGATATACAAAAAAAAAAAAAAAAACGCGGGACTCAGAGATATTATACGATGATTTCATATTGTTTTGTAATCACTTTCAACTGCATTTAAAAATACTGTAAATGCCAAATAAAAAAAAAAAACAGATTCAAATAACGAAAGAAAAAGGGAAGAAACCGATCAACCCAAAAGTTAACCACCAGCATGGATGGTTAAATATTGGTTCCGCTCGTCAATATACGTTAAATACGTTGTATTCTTCTGTCTTAAATTTAACTTGATTTAGTTTGACTATAGTTTTATAAAACTTAAGTCGCATCATTTATCAAGGTAACTTAAGATAGGATGTTTTACTATGGAAAATGTGTTTTCAATAAATAAAATCAAAAGACTGTAAATACTTGCTTGTCGCATTTTAACAAAAACAAACTTTTACTTTTTTGAAGTAAATAAAGATTATAATAAAAGCTTCAGACAAGAAAGTTTCTTCTCATGGTATTGCTCAACTAAGAAGAGGATTATGTTTCTTGTTATATATTTCACTATATTTGTTATATATATCGACTGTTTTCAACACTACATATATTACAAAAAAAACATTATTAGACAAATATGATAAATTAGGCTACCCCATAGTTTTGTAATATCCATCTGAACACCTAAAACCCAACAATCCATATGATTAATGGTTTTGATTAAGTCAATTTTGTGTTATCTTTCAGGACCCTGCATGTGACACTCCTTTTGAAACCTGTGTTAGACTTGCTAAATGTCAGGGAAACGACTGCTTCAGATGTGCTGGTAAGTAATTTGACAGTAAAAACTGTCTGGGAAGGAATAAAGTAGTAAGACGATATTGTCATTGATAAAATGGTTAAGATACTAGTTCAGTCTATGGCAAAGCGAAACCATCACGATTCTGAACGTTGTATTTGAATAAAAGTTATCTCTTGTCTGTATACCGCGATGTACTTTCTGCAAATAAGGGGAAAATTGGTAAACAAAAAATCCACTAGAAACAGGAAATATCTTTGAAATGTTAATGCGTCAACGAAAGGCTGAAAAGGCACCGAATGCTGTGTGATAGTTAGTAAACAAAGGAATATATTGGATATGCTATATCATAAAAAATCTTATTATTTTGTGGAATCCAAAAAATAATTTGTAACTTTAAAACGAATTGGGTGACATAATTTTTTATCATAAATTTAGAAATATATAATGATATGAACTGAATTTTGATATAAAAAAATCTGTTTTTTCCTCCCGTCCCATGCTACTTTTAACAATTTTCAAGTGACAATAAAGTTTTTATTTACTCAGTTTTATTTTCTTATCTATGATTGTGATACACGCCAGTCTTTGCATTTTGCACAATTTGGTGACACATGCAACCATAGATGTGTCAAGAATGTCCATTTATACCAATAAATATTATGAATGTAGAAGTTTTTCATTCGAAATTTATTCAAAAGCTATGTGCGAGCATGAAAGAACCAATTCGAAACTTCATATTTGCTCAGATTAAGGAGGAATAGAAAGAAAAACGTGATTCATTTCATCCTAATAACAACATGCTTATCTTAATGATGTGAAATCCATTAGAATTAATATGATTTTCAGTGACAGTCAGCATCGTTTTACCTGGAACCAGTAAGGAAACCATGACAAAACCAGCAAAAGAAACGCCAGTAACACTTCCTGCCAACCTCCCTAATGTGTTGCAGTTACTTAATTCCGCCCAGAATATGCAGTTACTTAATTCCGCCCAGAATAATCCATTATTGAAAATGCCAGCTCAAACAGGAAATTCACTTTTCGGCAGTCAAGGTATATTTTTTTAGTTAAAGTTCATTTCCTTCAGAAAATCTTTAAAATAAAAGTGTTTTTGGCATTTTAGAAATGCTATGTTTTCTCTCTCAATTTCTACATCTCACAAAAACTCGTACCTTTGTTCAATACCACGTCTCTTTTTAATTTATAACAGATTTAAAAAAAAAACATATTTTTTTTATAATGTAAAGCTCAAAGTTATGTTTAAACCATACGGAATTACTGTACACTGTGGACAGATTATAAACGGATTTCTGAAAAGATGACTTTGCTTAACTTCCTAAGGAAAATTATTTATATGCACATTGAACGAATTGCATATTTTTCTGAAGTGATGAAATGACATATTTCAAAAAAAAAATAATGTCCTTTGATAAAAATATTTTTTTGTAATTTTTTAGTGCCAAAATCGTTTTAATTTCTTTCAAGTTTTTATAGACACAGTTGTCTTTCGTGAGTGTATCTAAATCAAATACGAATTTAGCAGTCGTCTTTTCATCTTCATAAAATAAACTTCCAAAATAATTTTTAATGATATCATTACTGAAACATAACATTTTAAGAGATCTTCTTGAACAACCCTTCGAATGCAAATTTCTGGTTTATCCAACATAATGTTCAAAACTTCTTGCCCTTCATCCCGCATATATATCGTTGATCCACATATTTTATGTATTGCTTAATTTGTTATCGTTCTGAACATGCATAATATGATTTCTACTGAAGGTTAAACAAACAACAATGTATCAAGCCTATATTTGTTTAATTTCAGATCCACTACAGAACATGTTGTAAGTAGTATTATATTTGATAAAGTTATTATTCTTCTACCTCGTAATCTTACTTGCTCTTACTTCCGATTTACAAGATATATATAATGCCACATGCAGTCAGTAGCAATGTTTCATGTAAATGATTTCCTTTGTGACATCTAGATGAGGAAATTAGGAATTTTATCCAATCAAGAACATGAAGACATCACACTTCTTATTGGAAGTTTTATTATTCAGCCTTTATGGGCTGATTAACTTTCGCAGTTTTCTTTCCGGTTTCATTAATGCATTAAAAATTTACATATGTTTAGAAATCCAGAGTTTTTAGACATCCAAACATATATCAGATGCAATATGAGATAATACACCTTGTTTACGCACACAGTATATTCATTAAACTGTTTCTCTATGAAAACGTGAGTTGCCGACCATTAATTCTAACAAAAAAGGCAATTTTTTCTAACATAATAAAATCAAATTTACACCATGTAATTAGAAACATGTGTTTTGTAGACAATAAATTGTGGCAATATCGTAAATATATAAAGCTATTATCTTGCAGCTACAGACACACAAAGGAGTAGTTTATGTCTCGAAGGATAAATCAATTTAAACTAACATAAATATAAATCTCAACTTCCTTTTACTTTATTTCAGAATGGGTTCTTTCATGTTCGACGGTGGAATGTTCTTCTAAAAGAATTAAGACAACCTGAACCTAAAACATCGCAATGCAATTAAAAATTATAATTTATGAAAATCATCTACCATTATAGATAGTTGAATCATTCTCATGATGATATTTAATGAATAAAAATTGAAGATTAATATTTATTTACATGATATTAACTGCTGGACCGTTAACGGTCGAATAGTCTGATGATTGTTAATATAGGGCTCGAATGGTGTATAAAAAATAATGAATATAAGATACATGTATGAGCGCTTTGTGTTGCCATAGGGAGTTGAAGGATGGTTGATATAGGTGGTACGATGCAGATTGACACAGAGGTCGAGTAGCTTATACCATATGTTGACAAATGCGTCGATCGAGAGGTGTAGTATTATGAATTCTGTCATTAGATTATAACATTGGATACATGTTTGTGGGAAGCTAAGTGCATATGTATACTTGCTGACAGGTAACATAAAGTAAAATATCATTAGCAAAACCATTTTTGATCAAACATTGCACTGCAAAAACAAAATATCACAAGATGTTCGTGAGACGCATTCAAATTTGAATTTGATTATTTCATATAAAAAAAAGGAGATGTGGTATGATTGCCAATGAGACAACTATCCACCAAAGTTCAAATGAAGTGGAAGTAAGCAATTATAGGCAATCCTACGGCCTTCAGCATTGAGAGAAACCCATTTTACGAAAAACACGTATGACAGACATGAACCAACGGCAACCACTGAACTACAGGCTCCTGACTTGTGACAAGCACATACAAAATGTGATGGGATTAAACATGTTTGTGAGCGCTCAACCCTCCTCTAACCTAAGACAATGGTGTAACATCACAACATTAGAATAAAATATAAAATCAGTAGAAAAGAGCTTAACTCATCAGATCAATACAAACAGAAAAAAAAACTAACATTATCTCGTACACACCTTCGTAACTTTGTTGCACATCTACGTGCATAGTAGGAAACAAAGATGTATCAAAATGAAACAACAGGAATCAAATATGATTTATTGGTGACTGCACTTTACGTCCAATGACATAGATTACATTCTCGTTTAGGACGATGACATGTTAATTAATGAAATATTAGAATAGGCCTACTAGACCTACACGTTGAGTCGTATTTTCAAACGTGGTAGTTCAAGGGTTTTAGTCCACATGAAGACATGCCTTTATACCCGTGCACTTCATTCTGACTGGAAGCCAATTCTTTTTCTAATTTCTCAAATATCGTGCTTTGTGAAAGGCCGGTAAGGTTTCAAAATCGTCAGCTGCCGTATCGTAGCTCTTACCGTCCTTGTGATATTTTTTGACAATTTGCGAACTATAGGTCTGCAAATTATCAAAAATATCACAATCAACATAAGAGCTACGTTTCTGCAGCTATAAAACCACCAGATCATCGAAAGACAGAACCATTTTAACTGAATGACTTCCAATAAAAAGTCTGTATGAAAACAAATGGAAGGGGCATGATTACCAATTAGAAAACTCTCTACCAGAGACCAAATGATGCAGAAGTGAGCAGCTATAGGTCACCTTACGGCCTTCAACAATGAGAAAAACCTATAATGCACAGCAAGCAATAAAAGGCCCCGAAATGACTAATGAAATAAAACAATTTATACAAGTAAAACTAACGGCCTGATTTATGTACAAACAATGAACATAAAAAAAACAAGTATGACATACATCAATTAACAAGCGACAACCTCCGAATTACAGACTCCGGACTTGTGACAGGCACATACAGAATGTGGCAGGGTTAAACACAGTCTGCGGACGTCCCCTCCCCTAACCTTGGACAGTGGTGTAACAGCACATCGAACCATGTGACCCTTTCCTTTCTTTAATAATTTTCAGTGTTTTCTTTCTATTTGTGACATTACAATAGAAAGTATTGTTAGGAATGCCATTTACTATTTGTTTTTATACGAGAAACATTATATTTAACGATATACTGAAAAAGATTGTAAAATATTTCGAAAGTACATGTATTCATAAGTCTGTTTTATCTATAACCATGTGAAATAAACTTTTGTGTTAGTGCAAGGTTATGTACGCTCTTTAAAGTCGGCTTCATTTGAACATTTCAAACAAACTATACCACTGTGAAATGTACACACCATGGAACATTTGCAGTCTTAAAAAGGAAGTTCTTTACACTAAAGTTTAAACGTCTCTTTTGTCGTATATTTTAGTATCAACTTCTTCATTCTGTATTAATACAATTGTATCTAAAAATGGACAATATTGACCGTTATCTTAAGCTTTATTGTTAGACTGGATAATATTTTAGATAAATACATTCAGTATGTGTCATAAACTCGGGATAATATACATTATAAGTGCGTCATCAAAGTATTTGGTATTTTTTTTTTAAAATGTCAATTTATTTCAATTTTTATTTTACGAAGAATAATTTATAGCAGTAAAGAAAAAGGGCAGCAATTAAAGATGCGTAGTAGTTCAAGTTCAATAGTTTATTTTAGTCTCACCACATACATACAAATATAAACACAATATGACATTTATTACACAATATAAAATTTAGAATGCATGTGCCATTCTTAAAAGAAATATGAGAGACTGTTATATACAATATTAAAACATCAGAATAAAACATAGTTTTGTTATTTACACACAACATAAAAGTGCAATATCACCATGCACATTCAGGGATAAAAATTGATACATATACATGTTCATAATAATATCATCTTCAATTTTCAACGATATAAAATACTATATATAGTACTATAAGTACCAGTAGAAATTCTAATAATATGTGACGATTTTAATTCAATAACGAACACAGACGGGGGTAGATATGATAAAGTCCATGTATCATTTAGCCCTTGGAATAGCTAATGTAGTAAAATTCTTTAGTTTTTTCAAAAATATGTTAGTGGTGAAGTTGAAATTATTCCTTCGAAAATCATGAGTTGGTTTGACCGTTATGGAATATCTACTTCACAGATGACGACAGAATTGTCGTCACCACAACCCCGTCCTCTTTTCCTCAAAAGTTACCTACCGAATAATTAGACTTATCACCGGGTTTGCACTTACATGAGCAACACGACGGGTGCTACATGTGTAGCAGGATATGCTTAACCTTCCAGAGCACCTGATATCATCCAAGGTTTCAGTTGGTGGGCTCGTGTTGCTCAGTCTTTAGTTTTGTATGCTTTGTATACTGTTGTTTGTCTTTTGGTCGTTTTTTGTTTTATGCAATGGCATTGTCAGTTTATTTTCGACTAATGAGTTTGAATGTCTCTTCGGTATCTTTCACCTCTCAAAACAATTTAATGATATAATCTGGACAAATCGCATTTCAAAAATTTCAGTGTAGATTGCTATGACGTCATGAATGTTTGAAATGGGCTTATCTCTCCTAAAATTACAATTTTACTCATAGCGTTTTTAACGCTGAAATAAGTTATGAGCCATCGGAAGAACTTGTTGAGAAGAATCTTATTTTGAAGATTTATAAAATCTTCTGAATTACACTATGAATATAGTGTCGTGGGCCTCAATCCTTTTTGTTGTCTTGGGGGGACTATTAGATTGAAGTCACGCTTATCGATATCTAAATTCTATTCTACTGCCATTTAACAAGCACATGTATGACAGACGACACTAACTGTTCGCCGCCGACAAGCATAAAAAAGTATACAGTCCCGTAAAATAGAATAAACAGGCTAAATTATGTCCTACATTTCCGGTAACCAGAAATACCAAATAGAGGTATATAACAATAGTGGCTTTAACATACACACTCCTTTAAGGCCCTTAATAATTGAAAAATACGAGACGTATAAACTCGCAAATCTTTTAATATATTGTTGTAAATAAAAATTGGTCACTATAGAGAAAATTAGTTTATTGTACGAGTTTAGACTATTTTTAAGTAAGTTTATGTCAATGATTGAAATGGTCTTGCATGTATAAATGTCATAAAATTAACCGCCCGAGTGTAAACTTAACATAATAGATTAACCGTTTAAAAATTTTGATTGTTCAAAGTTAACACTATGATTACCTAAATAATATTATAATAGATATCTTTTACAAAACACTGTTGTCAAATCGATCGATCTTGTATAAGTTGTGAATAGTCTATATTATAAAGCATTAGAAGAAAATTAGCCGTTTTGAAGTAAGTAGAATGAAATTTACAACTTAACTGTGAGTTAATATCATATTAGTAATGTGTTCATATCTGAAGAAATAACATTCGTAAAATTTCAAATGTGCTTGCGATATTTTGATATGTGGGGATTTCTAAAGCAGCATGATTATCATCTTTTATGACAAAAGTTCCCTTTATATATTTCACATCAGTGCCATTTTCTAAAAGTCTTTAAAGTTTTATTTGAATTCATAGTGACACATTATGTGTATATTTTAAGGTTCTAACAATGGCTTATTTCTAAACAGGTCGTTCTGAACATGCATGAACTATTGGCCACTGGACGTTAAGCAAATAACAATCAATCTAAAAAGGTCACCAAATCATAAACGCCTGAGGCTTGCACAAAACGCAAGTTTGAGAGATTTTGTCAGCGTTATCCCAAAAATGTATAAGGACATCGTTGACCAAAACCAAAATTATGTTGATAGTAAAGCTATGTATTTTCTTTCGGATTCAATTTAATTCATGGTTAGCTATGCATTGTCTTTCGGATACAATTTAGTTAATGGTTAACGATGTCTTCGATGCAAAATTTGACAAAAACATGTAAAATTTCCAATTTTATAAAAATGCCTCATACAGCAACAGTCATGTACAAGTGAATAACTTTTTGATTTTATGGACATATATAAAATTGTGAAACAGTATTTTCAGTTTATGATACAGACTTTATTAACTTCAACATTGGCAGTAAGATTTGACTACTTTTATATGTATCCTGTAAGTGAATCAAATTCTTGAGAAATTGGCCCCACTCCTTTGATTTCATAAGAATACAATCTAATTAAAATATAGAACTCGGATTTCGTTATACTACATACGAGTAACGAAATCCGAGTCCTATATTTTAATTAGATTGATAAGAATAGATCAAATATTCATAACATGGTTATTAACCTGTCTTCATTTGAATATAGAGCATAGACATTTCCTTATAAACCACACCGAGACATAAACACTTATTTTTGACAAAAGAAGTAATCTTGGACACATGCAAGTCTCTTATTCCTTATTTAAACCCATTTGAAATATATTTATGAATTATTATTTTATTTCACATACGTATTTCATTGTCATAAAACAATCATAAACATCTATAACGTAGTTTTCATCATCGTATTCATCCCAGAAAACATTTTGGGACAGCTTATGATGTTTATCTTTTCATTTAATTCCCACATAAATGTAAATTAATCAGTAGATAGGATAATACTTTACTGAGAGACAGTGAAAAGGAACTCTTTGACGCAGAGGTTCTGACAAGTGTGTCATATTTCTGAACATTTTATCGTCATGTAAATGCTAACAAGTACCTATAAAGATTTGATAAATGAGTATATATCCAATCGAGAACAAGGACAAATAACAAAAAAATCTATCTGAAGTACATGTAAAGCTGTGTGGTCATTCAGGTTATAATATTCGGTTGTGGATGTCCTTCATTCAAATTTTCACATAACATGCAAAATCTTCATATTTTATCAAAAAGGTCTTTCACAACAATGTGTATAGGTTCGAATAACATTTTGATTTTAAATGTTGAACACAAATAGTGTTGCATTAGCTTATTATATTAGGTTCATCATGCATCTTTCAAATATTGTCTGCGAGATAAATTCAAAGTAATTCTAATGTTTTTTTAAGAATATTCTCAGTAAATTGGTATAATTACAAAAATAAGAAGATGTGGTATGATTGCCAATCAGACGATTCCCCACCAAAGACCAAAAGACAGAGAATTTTACAACTATAGGTCACCGTACGGCTCTCAACAATGAGCAAACCCATACCGTATAAAAAGCTATAAAAGGCTCCAAAATGACAAATGTAAAACATTTTAAACGAAAAAACTAACGGCCTGATTTATGTACAAAACAATGAACGAAAAGCAAATATGATATACAGCAACAAACGACAACCGATGAATTACAGGCTCCTGACTTGGGACAGACACATACAGAATGTGGCGAGGTTAAACTTGTTTGTCGGCGCCAAACCCTCACCTAACCGGGGACAGTGATGCAACAGTACAAAATAAGAACAAACTATAAAAAGCAGTTGAAAAGGGCTTAACTCATCAGATCGATACAAAGCAGTCAAAGAACTTACAAAAACACAGACCGGACGTGGCAGGGTATTTATACATCCCAACAAAAAAAAAACACTAATTACAGATCTGAGAGTACTTGCAGTTACTGACAGCTAGTTCAAAACCAATAAAAACTAATAAAAATCATGCATCTAAGACCAAAACTAAGACCAGATAGGTAGACATATAATTATATTTTAGATTGGAACTATGCCAAATTCTAGCTAAAAGTATTTTAAACTATACAATTTAAGAAAATATTATTTAAGATTTTAGCAAAATGTACTGCTTATATTAAGAATTCTATTCTTAAGAAAGAGTTCCATATGGCACCTCACCATACTAAATGAACAAGATAATATCTTGCAGTTTATTCCGTAGTGTGCATATGAAAAAAGAGGCGGAAGATACACCAAGGGAACATTCAAAAGTCATAATAGTCGAAGAAAAACTGCAACGCCATGGCAAAAAACGATAACGACGAAAAGACAAATAAGTCTACAAAACAATATAAACAGAAATCTAAAGGTTGAGCGACACGAACCCCACCTCAAATCGGGGGTGAACTCAGGTGCTCCGCAAGGGTAAGCTGTTCATGTTCCATGTTGCACCCGTTATGATGCTCATGCAAGTACAAATCCGGTGAAAAGTCTCATTCGATGATGTTACAATCGAAGAAAATGAGGACCAGATGGTGGTTATGACAATTGGAACATATCCGTGGTCATCTGTGACACAGATATTCTATAACGGTAAAAACAACTCGTGATGATGTCCGTAAAACTTTCGAAAGGATGATTTCAACTTCACCATTTGGAACTCTTTATTCAAATAGCTTCCTTGTAAGCAGCAACCCTCTATCAAGGGAGTCATGATAGGAAATGCAAGCTCTGGAATACCATATGCAACTGGGAGATATATGCTCCATATTCAGGCGCTGTTGCAATGTTGCTAAATAGAAATGGAAAGTTCACAATATGAAACTCTTTCCCGCCGTACTTTATTTATACTTCACACGGTCAGCGTTTTTTTTCTAACTACGAAAAGAAACTTTCATTTCTTATAATTACATTTTAATCAAAACCGTGTTTCTATGCACTGTTGTAACGTTGTCACGTGCAGTCTATGAATCATTTCTAACCCTCACTTGATTGTTGTCTGCCAAGCAAACTGACGGAATCTTATGTAACATCTACTAGTATACATTGTAATCAAATTGGTTGGATGACCCTTGGATGTGCACTGATTGATACTTTAGTCTCGGAGAACAGGATTTATGTATAATAGGTTGTAATTGGCTGTGAACTAGCTTTAAGTAACTGCGATTACTCTTATATCTGTGTTTTGTGTCTATTATTATTATGTTAGTTGGTTTGTGCTTCGTATCGATCTATTGAGTTAAGGTAGCACTCCACAGTTAGGTGTGTAGTTTCGCATTTTGGTCCCTGTGGATTTTTCAAATATGATAGCTTGTGTAGAATAAAATTCATTTTTGGATAGCTGAAGATTAAAATAGCCTTCATTTGGGTTTATAGGAATATCAAGATTATGTAATGTATGTAATATGAGCTGTTTTCTGTATGACAGTCCGTATTTTCATATCCATGCCAAATATTGGTCCGGCAATTATTGTAATGTTTTTTTCCAACTTTTTGTCGCACGAACTCTGCAATTAAATTTACGAAAAAATGAGGCGAAAGACACCCATTTTTTACTTGATCATTTGGTAGATTTATATCAACAGTTTCTGAAAAGGTATCATTTAAAGGCATTGAAATTCTAGTTGAACCAAATTTTGGGGGAATAAGTGACTTTTTTACACCCCCCCCTTTTTGCAATATTTTATGGTAAATAAATGCAGAATTTTGCCATGGATACACAAAAAAGGAATTATATTTCACCATTTTAACTTTTAAAAATCAAATCTATGGAAGATACTGATTACATACATATACACATGTATAACACAAACAGTTAGGTTAATGTATTAGAAAGTCAGGAATAGAAGATGATAAAACATTTTGTGGTTTAATTTTAATGTTTTTTTCTAACTGTGGAGTGCTACCTAAGGTGGTATGGGAGTATAAAACAAAAAATGACAAAATGTTTAAATATATTGTGATATGTTAAAAAAATATAATAAAATGATAGGTCACCGAGCTTGTTTTCAAGCTATACGTTTTGAAAATATGACACATTTTGTATGGATTATACAGAGAAAAATCATCATAATGTGAATAGAAGGTAAACTAAATGAATTTTTATATAAAATAAGAGAAGATAGCTCTTATAAAATGCTTTCAGGATATTTTAAGAAAAAAAAACGGGGTAACCGTACGTTTTTTCCTTCTATAACTTAAAATATAAAAATTTCCATAAGATTCCTATATAAATTATACTTTTTCCGAGTTGCCTCCCCTTATAACGCAAAATCACAGTTAAAAAAAAAGATTGAAATCAAGCAAACATATTCTACTTTTGTAAAAATGTGAGAGTTAATAATCTAAAATTAATTCAATGTGTTCATTTAATGGATTTTTTTAAATTAGTAAGTTGCATTCCTGTATCGAAATTTTCTGACCTAATTAAAACTCTAGACCTATTGTGTTCTGCTTGTATAAAATCCAAGATGACGGAATACACCTATACCACATTAAGCAATTTGCAACTTATTTTTACAGTTTGTTCGTATTTTTTGCTGTTACACCCCTGTCCCAGGTAATTATAAGGGGAGGTTTGAGCTTTCACAAACATGCTTAACCCCGCCACATTTTTTATGGGCCTGCCTAAGTCGGGAGCCTGTAATTCAGTGGTTGTCGTTGGTTCATGTCTGTCATATTTGTTTTTCGTAAATTGTATCGTAATAAATCAGATCGTAAGTTTTACTCGTTTAAACTGGTTTAAATTTTGTCATGTTAGGTCCTTTTATAGCTGATTTAAGCTCACTGTTGAAGGCCGTACGGTGACCTATAATTGCTTACATCTACATTACGCATATATGCCAAACTGTAATTTGATTTAGTTTTCTTATTCTTTTTAAAAGAAAGGAATCCTTAAAATAATTTTTAAAAAACAATAGAAACATTTTTGTATGTGTTCAAGTCCAGCCAGACCTTTCTTGCAATTGTTGAGTTTATTTTGAAAATGGTTATACTTAATGATACCATTCCGTATTCATATATATGGGTTTGTGCAATGAATACAACACAACCAATGTATGCATGTGACTTTTTCATTAAATTCTTATCATTTCATTTGCATTAACATAAACAGAAGGTTCGCAGATTTTCACATGACATTTTACACCAGCTCAGTTAGAATGAAAATGTTGAATTACATAAGAGATGTTAAACATTTGTCACTTTACTTACACAAACACCCATAATTTACATATGAAATAAATTAGAAAATGTCTCAATCAAAAGAATTTTCTCTATCACCAATTTCCTGATCTGTAATCCAACTTAAATCGATGACTTTTTCAAATCTTTTTATTTTTATCGCCGTTTTTTGTCCTACATATGATAAACGTGTTCTATACCAATACAAGTTAAATAATTTAAACCTTCAGATAGAAAATTTACTTAACGGCATGTCCTCGGCTAAGATTTCAAACCTATACAAATATATTCTAAAGTGATACGTCAAGTTACTAAACGGTATTTTGGACATGAGGGAACTTCACCTATATAGGTAAGACATATAGAAATCTTTTATAGACAATAGTATTGTAACGTATTGGGGTTTTAATTTTTAAGTCATTATTTAATTCAAATATAAAACTACTTTAAGTGATGTGTAAGTTGGTAAATAAATACAGGAATATCTTCTGTTAAAAATTGGCACCAAATCGTATGCAGGATTAAGTTTAGTGTAGGCGTGTTTTAAATTTTGTGTGGATTTTATTCTTTACTGGCTGGAAGGTTTTGAAAATATAATTGACGCAAACAAACTTAAAAAAAAAGAAGCTTTAACTGTAGTCCTGCTGAATTGTAAAAAAAAAAGGCGCATACCCTCAATATACCTTTGACGTTACTGTATCTTTTTACATAGCCCAAACTGCATGTACCCTGTCTAGTTTCAGTACGTGCTCATTCCTGTTCAAGTGTTACTATGTGTCGATAGTTCCCTCAGTAATAGGGACTGCTTTGGTCTTGTTTTTGGTGGCTTATTCAAAGACTGTGTTTTTCAATTTTGCCGATTTATTTAATTTCCTTATGAACTTTCTCGGCGGAGATATCTCGTTCATTTTTTGATTCGCAATGTTTTCACGTGATTTGCAATGCGCAATCTTAAATTCTTATGTCTATATTAGCACGAATTCATCTATACATACTCATATACTAAAGGATATTCGTGGTAGCAGATCAACAAAACAAATTGACAAAAAAAATGAAATACGCAAACAAATAAATGTAGACTTTTAAATCGGTATAATTATAGCCGATGTCAAGTCAACTTAATTAAAATTGAAGATAAAATTGATTACCTGTAGTTCAATCAGTATTGATTTGATATTTATTTTGGTTTCATAAAAACACTCATCGTGCAGATTATATTGAGAAAACCATAAAGTTGAAACCATAAACAAATAATACATATATGAAACAATGATATCACCATGGAAAGGTTATTTACATTTAATTTGTTTTATCTTCCTATGAAACACAGGTCTGATTGAATGCTCAATCATCTATTACACTATATAGCTAACCAAGAGTTTTCACAATTAAATATCGCAAAATCTGCACTTAATAAAAACAAATATTGATATGGATACCACTTAGCACCTCTTTAAGCTTATTCTGTATACCGAAGTGAATCTCAATTCATATATGATAGTATATATAAACTTCAAAGGAACCCCGGAACAGTAAACAGAAACCGTTTTCTTCTATAAAGCATGATATCACAATTTTCCAAGGATTTCTCAAATTGATTTGTGATAAGCAGGTTCCCCTATTGTTAACTTTCCTTTCATTTTCAAAAAGGATATTGCTTGTGTAGTATACATTTCGCAGTTCGATGCACCCGCAATTCCGTCAGCAGTCAGTTGGGTCTTGTATTTGCTGTAACTAAAAAAAAGGTACTGTCCAGAACTATCTCATAGTTCGATCCACGACCTTCCTCACTCGAGGATAGCACGCTACCACGAGAAAACTAAGTTTCTGCTGCAAAGCTGTTTTACATATGTATTCTTCTCTGTTTCTTCTTTTATACCCATTTTTGAGGTATATCGTTCGTTTTTGGCGATCCTGTGACATTTGTCGCGGAAGCGAGACATATACGCGTTCCATCATTCCGTCTGCGACATTCTTTACGCCGTCAAACTTTCGTGATATTTTATGAAACTTTGACCAAAAGATCATCCAGAGCAAAATTTTGAACATATACTGACAAAAAGACTTTGCTATTTTGGCAGTTAACATTAAGATACATTCTGCAGTGAGAGTTCTTTAGATATTAAAAACTTAGTCAAACCTTCATAGGATTTTTGAAATGTGTTACATTCAAACAAAACAGCACTTACAAAAACATAATGAAAACAAAAAAAATATTTATTTCAAAACTACTTGAAATAATATTATTAATACAGTAAATAACAAATATATTTATAATGCCTATATGAAATTTAGTATATGTACAAATTGATAAATATAACTTTTCATAATTGAGTTACATGAGTTATACAGTTAAGAGATTGCAATTATACACTTTTTACGCAAGTCATTTTTTTCAAAACCACATATTTGATATAATGTACTTATCATTTCTAGTTTATCGCACTTGAAGAGTAACAACAGTAGGTATTTATCCATAATGGTACATTAAATAATCATTAACAATAAGTAATAAGTAATAAGCATTTAGAATAATTTTAGTCAATATTTGAGGATGGATGTGTGACCGTTTTAGTGATTGAGGTAATATGTGACGATGGATAAGTGACCTTTTAAGTGATTGAGGTAATATGTGACGACGAATGAGTGACCTTTTTAGTGATTGAGGTAATATGTGACCACGGATGAGTGACCTTTTTAGTTATTGGGGTAATATGTGACGATTAATGAGTGACCTTTTTTAAGTGATTGAGGTAATATGTGACGACGGATGAGTGCCTTTTTAAGTGATTGAGGTAATATGCGACGACAGATGAGTGACCTTTTTAGTGATTGAGGTAATATGTGACGACGGATGAGCGCCTTTTTTAGTGTTTGAGGTAATATGCGACGACAGATGAGTGACCTTTTTAGTGATTTAGGTAATATGTGACGATGGGTGAGTGACCTTTTTAGTGATTGAGTCAATATATGAGGATGGATGAGTGACCTTTGTAGTGATTGAGGTAATATGTAACAATGAATGAGTGACCTTTTAAGTGAGGAAGTAATATGTGACGATAGACGAGTGACCTTTTTATAAATTGAGTTAATATGTGACGATGGATGAGTGACCTTTTGTGTGATTCAATCAATATGTGACGATGGATGTTTGACCCTTTTGAAACCGATTGAAATAAACTTTGATAGAGGAAATTTCGGAACATTATCTTTTAGATTAACAAAATAATGAGCACCTGACGTATTTTCACTTGCATATTTATAGATCTATGTAACTCATAGCGCGAGTTCAACATTCTGTTCGCTGTGTAAATTATACACGCTATTTGGTCTTTAAAAGTATAATAAGCACAATTGTATTTAATTGTGTTTTCATTTGTAAATAAATTGCTATTGATCAATTAATTATGTTTCGATTCCCACATATTATGAACAGTACTATTCTGATTGACAAACAGTTTGTTATATCGTTTATATCTCCATATTTAACTTGTTAGATGTACAATGGTTACATGTGTTGACAAATTAGGACACTTTCAAAAGCCTTAGACCAAACAATGAAAGAAGATTATAATGTTTATGTGCATTTAAAATCATTAAATAAATTATAACAGAGGTCAAACATTTCGCACAATCCTATATATGGTGATCCAATTTTCTTTTTAAATCCGTTTAGAATTGTAACAACATATAAGAATAAAGATCATTTTCCTGTTTGCTCCAATAACAATATTTATTTACCTACAAAGTACAAGTTTAAAAGTACTATTTTATACATAACCTTCAAATATTTACTTTTTGAATACAGTTGTGGGTCCTTCCTATTATCTTATTTGTTTTTCTTAGCCTCCTCATGCAGATCTCATGCAGGCAGACAAATGTAGAATCTAAAATAAGTAACGTTTTTGAAAACATTTAATTAGGCTATCTTTTACACACAACTATTAATGACAATTTGAAAAATATAAATCAATTCTTCTTTTTGTTGTATTTTTTTCGACTGCGATGTATTACCGTCTTCTCTACAATGATATTCAATTAAATATCGTGAAATTTGGCGAAAAAGTGGCAGTAATTGCAGAAATTAGCATTTGACATGAAAAAATTTATTGACATCTCACTTCACTGATTTCCAGTTTTTAAACCTGTAAATTGATTTTGTTTATTATGCTGTCCTTCTAAATTTTATTTTTATTCTACATTCAATTCATACACGGTATTAATTTCAGTGGCGGATTATTTTGTTACGTAAATCGCATATCAATTTTGATTTAAGATTGGAATTGGAATGCGATTTGGCGAATTCTCAATTCATATGGTGGAGAAATATGTTGAACTTTACATGGTTATATCATAATTGCAAGTTAAGGAACAAACGTAATTACATTATAATTGTCAGTATGCATGCACATTTGTGTATTTATCAAACTACAAACGATTATAGGATCTGACTAAAGTTGCTGAGTGGATGAGACAATAGTCATATAATTAACAACATTAAAAATAAGCAAGAGGTCATGTATATCATGCATGCGATTCTTATGTGTCAAAGACACGAACACTCAACAGCCCCCAAACAAATAGATAAAATATCATTTTTTTGGAAGCCAAATAAGAACCCACCAAAAATATTATCTAAATCGAGATCATGAATTGAAAAAATCGCTATCATAGATTAAAAATCGTTATCACGAATCTTATAATGGAATTCGTCATTTATCACGGATGAGATTCGTAATAACGAATCTGAGGAACAAGTAGAACAATTTTTTGTAATTCGTGACCACGGATAAAAATCTTTAGAATTAAAAGTAAATCTTTATCACGGATTCAACTTGTTTTCACGGATTAAAATCGTTATCACGAATCTGTGGAATTAGTAATCACATGTTTTTGTAACTCGTGATCACGAATAAAATTGATGCTATCCAATTCAATTCAATGTTTTATTAAATACTCATCTCTCAACAAGTACAATCGATATTGATTTTGAATGATAAAAAAATAATAATGGACGTACTTCAGCGCGGTATTAATAAATTGTAGAACAATGCCACATACAATGAGAGCCATTCTATACAGAATTATCAGAGACTATTCTTAAAATGTATAGATATACTACATTAAAAATATAAAATAAAATACTATTTACAATAAATAAAATTTCTACGCCTTTTTAACATTAAATAACATGTTTTGGCACACACGCGTATCTTATTTACATCTTTGAATAAAATCACTTATTTTTGGTTGTCATCTAAAGTATTAAAATTTTCATTAAAATTTCAGCAACATAATATAAATGGTTTCTTAAATCGTCATAAACAGGGCATTTCAATGTAACATGCGCTT